TTTGAGAGGGAATTTTGCTCTTGTCCCTCAATCTGGGGTGCAATGGTGCGATCTTGGCTTACTACAACCTATGCCTCCTGGGTTCAAGCTGTTCTCCTGCCTCAGGCTCCGGAGTAGCTGGGATTACAGGCATGCACCATACACCTGGCTAATTTTGTATTTTTAGTAGAGACGAAGTTTCTCCATTTGGTCAGGCTGGCCTCGAACTCCAACCTCAGGTGATCCGCCTACCTCAGCCTCCCAAAATGCTGGGATTGCAGGCATGAGCCACCAAGAGCAGCCTCCTCCAGGGTTTCGATTACCCCATCATCCCCCTCTCCAGGACCCCTTAGGGTTTTCCCCCTGGAAGTCAGTGATCCCCCCTTCCCTCTGCAGCCCAGAAAGGACACTAAGACAAACAATAACTTTTTTATTTTCTAGGCCAGGGGAGGGCTTTGGGATACAATTCTGGGCCCAAGGACTCAAAAGGGGGCTGAGGGTCACTGTCAGTGGGTCTGCATGACTACGGGGTATAGCAGAGCCAGGCAGGGGGCCTGAACCAGCTCCGGCACTCTGGGGAAGGGCCCACTATGTTGGCCCAGCACCACCTGGTTTTCTGGGGTCCTCGAGAACTTCAGGTGCAGGAACCCCTGGCTGCTCATGGGGGATAAGGGAGAAAGGGCCTCCTGAGCACCCGAGACCACCACCCAGAAAGCCACCACCCCCAAAGCTACCTCCCACAGTGCCCAGGGCCTGGTGCTCCTGTGTCACCAAAATCCAGTAGCTGGTGTAGTTGCTTATACCTGTAATCCCAGTGATTTGGGAGGCTGAGGCTGTAGGATCGGTCCAGGCCAGGAGTTCGAGACCAGCCTGGGCAACAGAGTGAGACCCCCATCTCCACAGAAAAACATTTAAAAAATAGGCAGGTGCGGTGGCTCATGCCTGTAATCCCAGCACTTTAGGGGCCGAGGCAGGCGGATCACTTGAAGTCAGGTGTTTGAGGCCAGCCTGGCCAATGTAGTGAGCTCTCATCTTTACTAAAGTATAAAAATTAGGCCAGGTATGGTGGCTCACGCCTATAATCCCAGCACTATTGGAGGCCAAGGCAGGTGGATCACAAGGTCAGGATATCAAGACCATCCTGGCCAACATGATGAAACCACGTTTCTACTAAAATACAAAAAATTAGCCAGACTTGGTGGCATGTGCCTGTAGTCCCAACCTATTCGGGAGGCTGAGGCAGGAGAATTGCTTGAAACTGGGTGTCAAAGGTTGCAGTGAGCCAAGATCACACCACTATACTCCAGCTGGGTGACAGAGCAAGAAAAAAAATTAGCTGGGTGTCAGGCTGTTTGCCTGTAATCCCAGCTACTCAGGAGGCTGAGATGGGAGAATCGCTTGAACCTGGGAGACAATGGTTGCAGTGAGCCAAGATTGAGCCACTGCACTCCAGCCTGAGCAGCTGAGTGAGACTCTCTCTCAAAAAAAAAATTTTTTTTAATTAGCCAGGGCCAGGCATGGTGGCTCATACCTGTATTTCCAGCACTTTGGGAAGCTAGGGTGGATAAACTGGTTGAGCCTAGGAGATTGAAACCAGCATGGACTATATAGCAGAACCCTGTTTCTACATAAAATGCAAAAATTAGCCAGGTGTGGTGGTACACACCTGTAATCCAAGCTACTTGTGAGCCTGAGGCAGGAGGATTTCTTGAGCCTTGGAGGTGGAGGCTGCCATGAGCCATAATTGTGCCACTGCACTCCAGCCTAGGTGACCCCATCTCAAAAAATAAAAATAAAAATAAGGCCAGGTGCTGTGGCTCATGCCTGTAATCCCAGCACTTTGGGAGGCTGAGGAAGGTGGATCACCTGAAGTTAGGAGTTCAAGACCAGCCTGGCCAACATGGTGAAACCCTGTCTCCACTAACAATACAACAATTAGCCGGGTGTGGTGGTGGATGCCTGTGGTCCCAGGTACTCAGGAGGCTGAGGTATGAGAATCCCTTGAACCTGGGAGGCAAAGGCTGCAGTGAACCGATATGGTGCCATTGAACCCCACTGGGTGATGGAGTGAGACTCCATCTCAAAAATAAAACAAAAAAAAAAGTAATAATAAGAGGCCAGGTGTGGTGACCCATACCTGCCTATAATTCCAGCACTTTGGGGGGCCAAGATAGGTGGATCTCTTGAGGCCAGGAGTTTGAGACCAGCCTGGCCAACATGGCAAAACCCTGTCTCTACTAAAGATACAAAGATTAGCCAGGCTCAGTGGGATGCACCTATTGTCCTCCATCACCCAGGTTCAAGCAATTCTACAAAGTAGCAAGGATTACAGGTATGCACCACTACGCCTGACTAATTTTTGTATTTTTAGGAGAGAAGGGGTTTCACCATGTTGGCCAGGCTGGTCTCGAACTTCTGATCTGAAGTGATCCACCCACCTTGGCTTCCCAAAGTGCTAGGATTACAGGTGGGAGCCACTGTGCCCAGACCCAATCTTGTGCCTTTAGATCTTGCCCTCAGACACCTAGCAGAATCTTAGGAGTGGTTTATAATTAAACAGACTTAGAATTTTAGGGACAGAAATGCATACAAACAAGGTCTCAACCTAAAATGCTTAACAGGCGCACCCTAAAATGTTGGCTTCAGATGGACACAAATTGATATACCCCCATTTTTGGACTAGGAGAGTCCAAAGGAATCTTGTGCACCTAGTTCCTCATCTTACTCAAGTCCTATGGCTTCCACTCTATCTTCATGTATACTTTCAGTGATGGAGGGCTCATTCTCAGTGGCAACCAGATAATGGCCTCCCTGGAAGCCCTACCCCTACTCCTAGACGTTCCACCCACTGGCTTGGAAGCCCTTCCCATTGGCTGCTGGAGCCACACCCTCCCACTCCTTCTGTATTAACCCAAAAGAGTAACACAAGCAATCCAGTGACCCTTGGTCCCTGTGAGGCTGAGGTCTCACCTGAGAGGCAGGAGAATTGCTGAGGAGAATTGCTTGAACCTGGAAGGCAGAGGTTGCAGTGAGCCAAGATCGTGCCACTGCACTCCAGCCTGGGCGACAAAGTGAGACTGCCATCTCAAAAACAAAAAACAAAACAAACACACTCTGGGGTCCATTGGGTCCATGCACAACTGGTGCATGGGCTTGTGTTGTCGGGGCAAATGAAGAAGGAAAATTCCCTTGGATTTTTCAAGAGGAGCCTGGTTATTGGCTGCACCTGACATTGATCTTCACAGCCTCCTTGGCAACTTCAATCACTTTCACAAGAGCAGTGCTACATCTTGTGTCTCACCCACCTGTCCCTTTCTTTTCTTTTCTTTT